CGAGCAGGGAGCCCGATGCGGGACTCGATCCCGGGACTCCAGGATCATGACCTGAGCCGAAGGCAGTCGCTTAACCAACTGAGCCACCCAGGCGCGCAAAGTGTTGGTTTTTTAAAACACTGGTATGTTCCAGTTAGAGTAAGATAAACCTGGTAACAGAATAAAAAAGCAATCTGTTAAAAAATATGCAGTTGAATATGTATATGTCTATTTTTTGAGTTTTTTCATCAATTGACATCAATTATAGCTTTAATAGTTGAAATAGTTTTATTTAAAGGTGCAGTTCATTCATCTGTAATCCATCTAATTATGTGGGCCAGAAAAATAGAGTATAATTCTATTGGACAGCTATTTAAAACAAAAACAACAAAAATTTAAATGCCAAGTATGTATAAGTCCCATTTCACATGCTGAGAAATTGAGAAAATGATAGATTTTTTTTTTTAAGATCAACTAACAGGATATCAAATAGTTCTTTTCCTGCTATCTTGGGATTTCAGCTAATGCCCCATTCTCAAGAGAAGTATACTGAAACATCCTCAGAATTATTACAAAGTGGTCAGACCAGTCTCATGACCCTTCTGCCATCGTCCATCCCCAGCAAAGAGGGGACAACTAGCAATTCTAAAATAATTGAAAAGAAGGATCAAGGAACACAGCTGTGGGACTAATGGGGAATGTTGGGGTGATTCATCTGCCTTCTCTGGGTGGAAAGTGGAGGTTGGAGAGAGCTCCTCCTACCCCAAGCCAAGTGAGGACAGCTCCAGGAGAACCTGTTCCAGAAGAGCCAAAGCCAGGGGGAAACATGCACATGACGACCACTACCTGCTTCCCCATGGAGAATTCTGAAGGCCTCAAGCTGGGCCACATTGTGACTTATGTGGCCTTGGGCACTTTGCCTTCATGGGTCCCTCCCACCATAATACTATCAATATTACATATTATTTTTGATATAACTTTAAATACTTCGATATTTTTTCTCTGTTTTAGAAAAAAGTCAATAGATTTTCATGGTTTCTGAAAATTAAAACATTTCTCTTGACCTCAAACTTACATTTTTTTCCTTCTGATTTTAAGAAAAATTGGAGCATTTTTGTAGGACCCTGAAAGTACCGTGAGCCCAAGGCACTGTGCCTTCTGTGCCTAATGGACACATTCCTCCCTTGCTGGAGGGACCCATGACAGTGGGGAGGGACTGCATGCACAAGGACACTGTTCCATGTGGTGAGCCTGTGTGAACTGTGTCCCATGAGACACAGTAGGTATCTTAACAGAAGCTGCGTTAACGGGAGCTGGCCCGAGAGGCTGAGCTATTGGTGCAAAGTGACAGAGTAAGAGGCCATGTTTGGAGACAAAAGTAGAAGAAAATTGTGCCATTCCTGGTTTGTAGCCCCATCAAGCTCAGCTCAGTCCGTCAGCTGGCTACAGTTACAAAGTGTGTCATTGGCAAAACTCGAAATGAGTCCCCAGTGAGAACATTCTACTTCTTCTCTAGGACATGCAAACATTTTCACAGTTCTAAATTTTGACTTTAGATTTATGTTACTACATTGAGGCTTCCCCTCATCAACTTTGAAAACAAAAAGAATGGGGAAGTATTTTATGTACTGATTTGGAAAGATCTTCAAGATATAGTATTAAGTGAAAAAACAAGGAACAGAATGATATGTGCTGCCATGTGTGTTTAAAAGGAAAGGAAAGAACACACAGGTATCCAAGGGAAGAGGAGACAAAGGCCAGCTGCTTTCCTTCCCTCCCTTCCCACCCCCCAACCCCCCGGCTTCAGGGCCTGCTTACCTCCTGGTCTAGGGCTCCTTCTGGGTGCCCCCTTTCATAGCAACATGTCTCCTCCTTCACCCCATCTGGTCAGATGCAGTAATAGCTCTCAACTATTGCTAGTATCTGAGGGCAGTATTATTATTATTATCCCATTTGTTAAATTAGGATACTGAGGCACAGTGATGAAGCCAGGATTTCAGTCTACACATTTTCACTTAAGCTCAGGCTCTTTTAAGTCCAGCACAGTGCTACTCATAGATATTAAATTAACACTCAAAACCTATATACTAAAATTATATGATAGATGCCAAATGTTGTAGGGAAAATAACATGGTACCAGGAGAGAGAATAACACAAAAGACACTACTTCATTAGTGGGGGCAGGAGGGTGGAGTCGAGGCAAGGCCTTTGTGAAAAGGTAGCATTTGAGCTGACACTCACAGGAGGATGGTTGCTAGAGGGGCTGGGATCAGGGACCAGCACATCTTGGGCCCTGTGCAGAGTCTCCTGAGGAGGGACAGAGCTCAGTGCATCCAGAAGGGAGACTGACTAGAGCAGCACAACTGAAGCACAGCATGAAGGAAAAGAGGAAGGCATGGGGCAAGTCTGGAAAGGTGGTAGGGGCCGCTTAGGGCCGGGGGGCCAAGCAGGCCAAATGAAGGAGCTCAGCTCCTCTTGGAGCGTCAGGAAGCCCTTGGAGAGAAGTGGTGTGCTCTAACTCAGGTTTTAGGAAGACCACCATGGCTGTAGCATAACAGCGGGATTTGAGGTGGGAATGTGGACAGAAGAATGGACAATGGTGGAAGCTGAGAAGTTAGCAGTTTGTTGCAGAAGGTCTGGTGAGAGCAGATGGAGGCTTGAACCTTGACACTGCAGTAAGACTGGGAAGAAGTGGTCAGATTTCAGGTATATTTTAGAGGTCAAATCGACAGGACTGGACAGCAGGTGGGATGTGGGTGGTGGGAGAAGAGGACGTGTCCGAAGGCATTTCTGGTGTTGTGTATACCAAACAGACTCAGTTAGCCATCCAATATCATTTCTGGATTAAGAAGGATCAGTCTCTGGCTGATCACAACCCCAGGGGGGAGGACTGGATTTCCTGTTAAGCAGAAACAGTACAAAGTGCTGTGTTAACATCACCACATTATGGAATAAGTAGACTCTGTTGGTCAGTGAGGATTTCATCATTACTTGTAATATTTTCTGTGGATAAGTAGATTTACAACCAGCTTAGAAATGAGCCTATTGAACATAACCTATATATAAGTTAGAATTAGTTGTAGAAAGAGAAATGTAGAAGCTTTACATCTAATTTGTGTTTCCCAGGCCTGTCAGAGAGTTCTCCATGCCAAGAGGAGCCAACACTTTCTGTTACTGTACAAAAGCAAATGTGATTGTCACTGGAGGTAAGGGATACTGTTCATGTTGTACAGAGATTCTCTACTTTGCCAACCGTGCCCTACTTGATTAATATAGGGATAGAGTGGTTTTCATAAAGTTACAGAGTTTTGCTCCCAGGGAAAACCTTTTAGAGAGTTAAAAATTTCACATAAAGTTAAATTTGTCAGTCTTTTTCTTTGTGCCTTCTGGATCTGATGGCACACTTAGAAAGTTCTTCCCCGGCACCAGGATATGTGTTATAAATTCTTCCATATCTTACTCTAACTTTTTTTATTGCTTTATATTTTACCTTTAGATCTTTAATCTCTCTAGAAGTTATTTTAACATGTGAGAGCATGAGATCCCAGCCCGGGGCCCCTTGTGTGGGCTTTAGAGGAGTCCTGGAGGCTCCTGCGGCCTATTGACCCTTGTGTGTCTATGTGCATTTTTCTGCAGAGATAGTCCAAAATGTTATCAAATCCTCAATGGGGTCCATGTTCAAAGATGTCAAGGGCCAATGTTTTAGAGTTAGCAGGAAAGAGGCCAAGGAGAGAGACTTGAAGCATACTAGCATTTAAGGGTTAAGGAGGGTGGAATATAGGACGTGAGGTCATCTGTAGAGAGTATGATATAAGAAGCTCAAAGGGGAAGATGGAGGACGGAAATGTTCCTCAAGCCTCAGACTTGTCACCTATAATCCTGGGGTGCTAATACAGCAGGATGGCTTCGAGCCTGGGCTCTGAAGTCAGACTGTCTGGGTACAAATCCTGATTGTCTTTCTAGCAATGACCTTGGGCAGGTCATTTGATCCCTTTAAACTTCAATCTACTCTAAAGTGGGACTGATAATAGTACCGACTCATAAGATTGTTATAAGAATTAAGCAAATTTGAATAAAGTACTTAGCACACAATAAGTGCTCAATACAAATTTGCCAATAATAATACTAACAATAACAAAACCACACATACTGCATATGGTGGTGCTTAAGATTAATTGAGATAATGTATGCCTGGCACATAGTAGATTGTCAATAAATATTAATTCAATCCATCTACGACACATAGGCAAAGTCATGTTGACAAAAGCGCGGAGGTTTTGTTGGAATAAAATGAAATTGGAGGTTCCAGTCAGGAGGCTGTTCCAGGAGTCACAAGTGAGGTGGTGAGGATCTGCATTATTGTAGGTGAAATGGAAAAAGAAAGGAAAGAGCCAATCCCATGGGAAAGAAATTAGTCATAAAACCTGAAGCCAGAATGAAATTGGGATTAGTAAGAGGGATCAATCAGCTCCGAGTTTGTAGGGGAAAATGGAAGAGTAGCAGCTGTATTGTTACCAGAGATCAGGAAGAAGGTGCTCATGTGGGAAAGAGCAAACTCAACTCAAGTGTGAACTTAAATGTCAAGTGTGATTAGACACCTGAGAGGATGCTCCTTTTGGTGATGATAAAAGACCTAGTTGGATCTAGGGGATGTGAGGGCCCCCAGGCTGGCTGCACGAGTGAGAACTCCCAGGGGCACCCCTAGATCAGAGTCACTTTCAACAAGGAGCATGTAGACTTGAACAATGTAAATGAGCAAAATAGAAACTCAAATAAACATCAAGAAAATGGCCTATGCTGGAGATCTGAACTTTAGAAAGGGAAAGAGCAAACAAGATTTTTAAGAAGAAAGCTCTGTCATCCAAAAGATCACCAAATGTACCATTTGGTAAATGCTTCGAGCAAAAATATTTATTAAAAAAGCAAAAATGTTCAATGAGTATGAGCTACTCGTTCCTTCCATGTGAGATTTCTTCAAATTCCTTCCCCTAAAACACACACAGCTGCAACGTTTGGTTTTCTACCAAGAGTATCCTGCCTTGGGCCTGAAATGCCAATATTGATAAGTACAGTTGACCCTTGAAAAACACAGTGGTTAGGGGCGCCAACCACCCCCCACCACCACCAGCAGTAGAAAATCCACATGTAACTTTGAACTCCCACAAAACTTGACCACTAATAGCCTACTGTTGACTGGAAACCTTACAGATAACATAAACTGTGGATTCACAAATATTTTGTATGTTCTATGTATTATATACTGTATTCTTACAATAAAGTAAGCTAGAGAGAAGAAAATGTTGTTAAGAAAGTCATAAGAGAGAAAAATATGATTTTACAGTTCTGTAGTGTATTTATTAAAAAAAAAATCTGCATGTAAGTGGGTCCACACAGTTCAAACCCATGTTGTTCAAGGGTCAACTATGTGAAGATAGCTACACTCTCACTTCACACCTGGGTGATCTCCCCTGAGGACATAGTTAAAATTTTTTTCAGTATATTGTGCATTTGAAGTTCATATTGAAATTTGTGCTCAGGTTTGGGCCTTCAACAACACTTACTTAAAACTAGCTTTGGTTCGAATATTATTTTTTTAAAAATTACATAGGAATCTACTGGAAAGTAAAACAAGTAAAAACAATGCACTAGAAGTTAGAAGAGGTGGCTTTAGTCATAGCCTGGCCATTAACCAACTGTATAATTTTCAACTACCACGTAATCTTCTGTTGCTTACTTTCTGTATCTGGTAAAATGAGGAAGTTGGACTACATACATTCCAAGACCCCTTGAGCTTAAAGAATCCCGATCTGTTATTTAAAGAAATCCTTGTTCATAGGGAGATAAATTAAAATGTCCTTTGGAAAACTTGGAACCCAGTTTGCCAAATAGGGGTTACTCAGTACGTAGTCAGAGCTTTGTGTACTCAAAAAAATGAGGCATTAAAGGGCCACAGACTTCTAAATTTCAAGTAAGGACATCAAAGAAAGAAAGCAAAGCATATGGGTAAGAAGTCTGCAGAGTAGTATGTGGGAGTCATGGCTTAGACTGGGAGCAAGTTTCCTGGCACCTGGAATGATGATTCTAAGAACGAACAGGGATCCAAGTCTTTAAGCTGTGCTAACTGAGGTTATCCTTTAAAGAGCTCCGCACTGAAGTCTAGAACACATGAGGCAACAAATACTAAAATTACATGTTTTCAAAAAAAGGAGTGCCATGCTTATATTACAATTTCTTGATCCCTGTTGCCCTTTGCTGAACTGATGACTGTCTTGACTTCTTCCTTGTGAGGGAAATGGCCCTGAGCACTTGTCAGGAGGAGGTGGGGGTGCTCCAGGGATGAGGGAAAGAGCACAGTGGTCCTCAGAGAGGAAGCAGAGAAACTGCCCCAGAATCGAATTGCAAGGGACGCTGCCCCCAGCAGGGCAGGTCTTCAGTTCCGTGTGGCCTTCTATCCTCCTTCAACTCAAACCCTCCACAGGAAACCCTCTGAGAAAGCAAAACGGCACAGTTAAAGTAAGATCTGATTTCTAAAATCCGATTGTTCTAAAAAGACAAGCTGTCACATCAATCTTAACCAACTCCTTTGAACAGCCCTTTGTTCTCACACAAAATACTTCAAAACATAAGAATTGACCAGCTCTCATATATTTTGTCATCTTAAGTATTTTAATCATTTCTGAGAAAAAATATGTGTTTGGTAATGTTCTGGGACTCAAATCACTTTAGTGTTTATGGATTAAGATATTTGACCCTCATGAACCTCAACAGTCATTATATTGTAAGATGGCCAGCTACAGCTTTGAAATCTTATTTTTCTGGCTCTCTTACAAAACAAAACATTTAGCAGCATGACAGACAAACAACTAATACTTTTCACCATGCAAAAATTATTAAATTGTCACAGTTACAGAGCCTCTTTTAGTGGAAAATGCAATTCCTCAGTGACTAGAAACACGTTTTCCTCAGGAGAATACTCTTGTTGATTAGTGACTCAGCCAAGCACATTGCTAAATGTACTGTATGTACCAGCTGATGACTCAAAATATACTATGAAAGCAACTTTGTTAGGCATAGTTGAATGTGTGAAATATGCAGGGACATTTGATGAGCTTGAAAAAACAGAAGCTCCTGTTTGCGGGGGGGTTGTAAAAAAAAGCCAAACCAGGACAAGGTACTTACCAAAACAAAACAAAACAAAACAAAACAAAATAAAATTGCAAACTTCCTGAGCATTTGTTTTTAGCTCATTGCTATCTCTCTTGGCCAATTTAAGAGTTAAACTCCGAATTTGAAAGGTCCAGTGTATACAAACGGTTCTCTGCCATCCAAGATAATTTGGGGGCTCTGCATGCATCTGTTAATGTTTCATTCAACAAATATTTCTTGCACAACTGCTATGGACTAGACCTCATGAATCATAGAGATCAGGTTACATTTTAACCTTCAAGAATTCAAAATTTAATGGTACAAATAGGACATGTTAATACACAGCTGTAATACAAAATGGAACATGAGTCAACAGATTCATAATCATAATAATAACAATACAGATTAAACACTGTAGGCATTTAGAGCTTAGTATCATGTCCCTTTCTGATCATTCTGGCTCCAAAAAGCCACCACACAGACTCTGTGAGGATTCTATTGCTATCATCGGAAAGCAGGCAGAGCTGGAAGACCTCTGGTGGCAGACCAGAGGAGCCCTCTGTAAAACGGGGTTTCCTTCATAATGCACACTGGACAAAGCTCTTTGCCACATTTCTCACGTGGCAATCTTCTATTATATCCTTCTTCCTGTGGCATGCAAGTCACAGATTTCTTTCTGGGGATAGCCCGACCTCATCCAACAGGAGTGATAAAGTCCATTTCAAGGGGGCAGCCCGGCCAACCACCTGGGGGCCCAAGGCTCAGGTTCTGGACATACTGGAGTAAGGTAAGACTTCTCAGCCTTTGCCAGAGAAAAGCAAATGCAAGCAAGATACTGCATTATCAGAATTACTCAGTATGAGTCATGTAACTGATAATCTGAAGTTTTTCTAATGACCTTTACAATTCCAGATTGGTCTATATTCTCACTGTAGTAACCTCTCCCTCCCCAACACACAATCATAAAACTTTGGAGTGGGAAGAAATCTTGGGAGATCAAAATTTTACAGATAAGGAAATTGAGGCCCTAGAAAAGAGAATGATTTGCTTCAGCTCATCATATGACTAGTCAGCTGGTAGAACTGAGCTCCAGTCTGTCCTCCTTTCTCCCAGCCCCTGCTCTTCCCTGCTGGACCACCAGGACCACCGTAATCTGGTTCATAGAGTCTCTCCCTCCCTTTTCTCTCTGAGCTGAGCCAGCTCATCTCATCAAGAGTGAGACATTTGGATCCACTGACTCACCAGCTGAGATAAGAGCTTGCTAAAGGAAAGAAATACTACCTTTATATGTGGCTTTATCTGAATCCTGGTTAACAAAAAGGAAGAGAGAAACTAAAATAAATGGAAAATAACAAAGGAACAAGGATTTAACCCCTAATGAACCATAATAAATCATTTATAGTATTAAGTCCTACCTTCAGATTTGAATTATGTTCTGCAAATACTTCCTTTCCCTCTATATCTTTCATGCTTGTCTGAGTGCCACCACTAGATTACAAACTCTCCAGAGCAGGGCCCATGTTTCATACATCTGTGTATCAGTTCCTCTCTGTCTCCCCTAAACTTTTTATAAAATGTGTTGCAAATGGCCCAGACTTAGAAGAAAAGAACAGAGTAGTAATAGTCAGCTCATACTCCAGGAACTGCTCAGATTATCCATGGATAATTATCCATTTAGTCTCACAATAAGGTTATTACATAAATTCTGGTCATCCCCATTATATATACAGATAAGGAAACCCAGACACAGAAGGTGAGGTCACTTACTTAAAGCCATAAGGTTAGTGAGTGATAGAGCCAGGTTTCAAATCAAGGTAGACTTTCCCAAAATAAGTACTTTTTAAGCACTTCATGAGTCACTCTATTAGCCAACTCATTTACTTAACAAACATGTATTAAGCACTTGCTATTTGTCAATCACTGCCATAGATGAGAAATATAAGGCTCACCAGAAAATGAGTAAACAGATATTTACACAAACAACTATAATTGAATAGAGCTCATGCTATAAACAAAATCTGAAGAAAACACCCTCAGAACGGGAAGAAGAAGACTTAACTCCATCTGAGGCTGGGGACACTGATCGGGGGCAGCCTTAGGAAGGAAATGTTGGAACTAAGTCCAAAAAGGTGTAAGTGTTGGTCTTCTGGAAAAAAAAAAAAAAAGACTTTAAGTAGGGTCAGTGTCTAGATTTTTTTGTATCTTCAACATCTAGCAAAATGCCAAGTGTATAGTAATTTCTCAAGATATTTTTCTTCTTGTTAATAAGGATAACATGGAAGTTTTAAATTTAAGAAAATATCCCACTTGAAACAAAGGAATGAAACAAAGAAAGAAAGAAAATATCCCACTTACCCAATGACAACAGTACTTAAAATATCTTGGGTTCTGTCTTGGCCAGCTTAGGTTGCCATAACAAAATATCATAAGCTGGGTGGTTTAAACAACAGAAATTTATTTCTCACAGTTTTAGAGGTTGGAAGTCCAAGATCAAAGTGTCAGCATGGTCAATGTCGAGTGAGAGCTCTCTAGCTGGACTGCAATGGCTATTTTCTCACTATATCCCCACAGGGAGAGAGAGTAAGGGGGCTCTCTGGTCTTTTCTTATAAGGACACTAATCCCAACATTAGGGCTCAACTCGAATAACTTCATTTAAATCTAATTATCTCCCAAAAGCCCCATTTCCAAATACCATCACATTAGGGGTCAAGGCTTCAACATATGAATTTTGGGGAAAGAATTCTATCCATACCAGTTGCCGGAGAAATGGAAAGTAAGAGTCAGCTGTGCCCTGAGATTTTTCAGCCTGCCTTTACTAAGACTCCAGGCCCCGAGGACCTCTGAAATGAAAGAACTGGCCTTATTAAAGGAGTCACGCGAACATTCAACAAAGACTTGTTTTTGTTTGGATACGTGTTTTCACAGTCTTGTGCCACTAGATAGTTAAACCTCTGAGCTAGGATTCAGCATCCCAAGATTGAAGTTATAGGAGTTCAATAAAATACCTGAACTCCTACTGTGGGTTACACTCTTGAGGTAGTATAATAAAAAAGAAGTTCTGCTTTCAAGTGGATGGTACAGAAAATTGAATCATTAACTATAAAAGATGCCAGGGGCAAGGGGCACATAGGCAGGGGCTCTTAGTTTTAAAGAATATGAAGACATTCTGAAATATTCTTGGAGGTACAGTCATGCTACGATTTGAAGATTGGTTTGGAATACTCAAAGGGGAGAAAGAAAAAGGTAAAGAAAATACTCTGTTCCTTTTTTTCATGAAACCAGACAAAATAATCAGAGAATTATGAAAACATCTGTGTCTATCACATTTCCCTGGGTTATGAATATCCAACTGGCAAGTCACCTAATTCTCCTGCATAACTGACTGGCTCTTGCAGTGTGTGTAAGTATATTTCCATAAAAAGTCCAATATATATCAGCAAATTCATCCTGTGGGCCACAAAATACATGCTACCTGATTAACTAACATGGCCTCTTTGAATTTTAGATTTTATTAATACATAAATTGTAACTTTATAACTTAGGTTATATATAAATTATAACTTAGGCTATAATGCTATTATATAATCTTTTTTTCCTGGTGCCCTGAAGATCCTGGGTAATAAATAAGATGCTCGAGAATGCACCATATATTCCTAATGTATACCATTTTCTTATATGTGATTCTGGACAAATCATATTTAAATCATTAAATTAAATTAAAGTAAAGTAAATCATTTAATTAAAAATCACTTAATCTTAGGGGTGCCTGGGTAACTTAGTCGGTTGAGCCTCCAACTCTTGATTTCAGCTCAGGTCATGATCTTGGGGTCCTGAGATTGAGCCCCGCGTCGGGCTCCTCACTCAGTGGGGAGTCTGCTTGAGATTCTCTCTCTCCCTCTCTCTGCCTCTCCCCCCACTTACCTGTGTGCCCTCTTCTCTAAATAAATTAATAAATCTTTAAAAAAAATTTTAGGTTTAAGTTGCTTTTTTGAAAAAACAATTAGACTATCTATGACTATGCATTAGTTCAGGTAACACTAGCTACTGTAACAAATAAACCTCAAAATGTGTAATGAATCAAACAAAATGGAAATGTATTTCTTCTTAGTCATGTTAAATCTAAATCAATTCTCTTAGTTTACTGGCTAAAAGTCAGTAATCTGACCACATCTAACAGCAAAGGACTCTGGGAAATGTAGTCTAGCTGTGCACCCAGTAAGAGACAATAAGGGTGTGGTGAACAACTAGCCAGTCTTTACCATAAAACTGGATGTGTGTGTGTGCATATGATAATAAAATTTTATTAAATTTTAATTTTTACTATCACCAGAATTCTAATAGACCATGGGTTAAGGATATGATCAAACAATTCACAGGAGGAGATACAATTAGCAGATATACATGGGAGAAAATACTCAGCAGCATCAGCTGTCATATAAATTAAATAAAAACAAAGTGTCATTTTAGACATTAATATAGCAAATATTTTAAATCATGATAATATCCATGTGCTGGCCAGAATTTGATGAAGCTGGTATAATCATATATAGTTGATGGCCTTGGCATTTGGTACAACCATTTTGGAAAGCAACCTAACAATATGGGAATTTATCCTCAGTGTATATGTCCAAAAGAAGAAAAAAAAAAAACACATGAATAACTATTTATTGCAGTGTTGTTGAATAAAATGAAAAACTAGAATTAGCAGGAACATTTATTGACAGACAAATGGTAGGAAATTTTGATGTAGCAACCAAAATGATAATTATGAAGGTGTGAGCCTGTGACCTTCCATAAATGCAAAAAAAAGATGGGCATGTATACTAATTTTATTTTATTATTTTAGTTATATTGGATATATAAAATTTGTATTCTAAAAAAGGTACAAATTTCCAGTTAGGAGATGAGTAAGTTCTGGGGATGTAATATACATGTGGTGACTACAATTAACAGTATTGTATTTATAATTGAAAGTTATGAAGAGAGCAAATCTTACAAGTTCTCATGATAAGAAAAAAAGGTAACCCTGAGGTGATGCATATGTTAACTAACCTTACTGAAGTAATCACGTTGCAATATATGCTTATCCTTGTGCAGGGGCCATGCTATCTTCTCTGTATCATTCCAATTTTAGTATATGTGCTGCCCAAATAAGCACTATATATATTTTTTAAAGATTTTATTTATTTATTCATGAGAGAGAGAGAGGGAGGCTGAGGGAGAGAGAGAAGCAGTCTCTCCATGGAGCAGGGAACCCAATGCGGCACTTGATCCCAGGACCCTGGGATCATGACCTGAGCCGAAGGCAGATGCTTAACCTACTGAGCCACCCAGGTGCCCCGCGAGCACTATACTTATATGAAATAATTATGTTGCACACCTTAAACTCACACAATCAATTATATCTCGATAAAGCTGGAAAAAAACCAAAAGCGACTTGCCCTGCAAACCCCACATATAATAACAAAGTGACAAATCCGTTCTACAAAACTTTGATTTGGTCTCTCTCTGCTCGAAATAGCATGCTGTGACTTCTCTGTAAAAATACATTTTAAGAAACCTTGATTTTTTGTATTTTGGCAATATTTATAATATATTTTAATGGGTATATCAAAGATAAGTTAGTGATAGTGGGTTTTTTTGGTTGAGAAATGGTAATCTAAACACCTACTGAAAATAATTCAAAGTATTTAAATATGAATGGAAAAGTATTTTTCTTAACTCCGAAAAGAAAAAGTTTGTTTGTAAGAAAGAGGGGGAAAAAAGTGAACAGTGATTACCTGTAGGGAGTGGAAGTACGGATTCTGAGGGGAAAGAAGACATTTTTGACAAAAATTATACCCTTCCATATTGTTTAAATATTTTACCGTGTATCCGTATGATTTTAACAATTAAAAAAATAGTATGTATGCTATGGTAGTAACTACGTGTAAATTATATCTGCTTATGGATATGTGCTCGAAGGGAAGATGGAGACAGTTGATTTGTTATAATGTTAGAGATTATGTGCAACTTTCCTCTTCCTCTGAATGTGAAAACAAAAGAACAGCTGTCTAAAATACTTTGGGAAGTAAATAAAATATAAATAGTACATTAATGTATGAATGAGTGGGAAAGTACTGAAACAAGAAAGGGACTGATAAAATATTTATAAGAATTCACATTTGCGTGTGTAAATACAATTATTTCCAAATAGCCTTGACAGGAGGAAGTGGCTCCAAAGCAAGTCAATCCTAGAGGGCATCCTGGAAGAGGCAGACTGTGATTTGATATTAGAAGGATGATAAGGATATGACTGAGAGGGACTCTTTAAATTTTGACCAGCTGTATCCCTGAGAGAACAAATAACCACCCCCCCCCCCCGTCATCCCTTTCAGGAGATGACAAGGTGCTGCGGTTGTGGCACCCAAACATCAGCACCAAGCCGGTGGGGAAACTTGTGGGGCACATGTTCAGCATCACGGAGATCGTAACAAATGAGAAAGATCAACACGTCATCAGCCTCTCCTCTGCAAAGGTAACAGAATACAACATAAATGAAACCAACTGCATTTTCCCCTAAGATCAACAGATTTTCCTATTTTCTATTTTCCTATTTCCAATAGGAAAATCTAGAGCACATATACAGTTTTTGACTGAAATAGCTGTTATCACTGAGAAAAATATTGTCAGTGTGAAGAAGGAAATGATGAGCCACTGTTCCTGCTGGGTTTCTGCTGACGAGGGTGCATGGAAGAACACGTTTGAAGACAGGCGTTCAGGAAGGCAGCGCTGGGAAGGAGCCAATGTGGCCCTCCCATAGCAGACGGGACATTTTGGGCAAAGACAGAAAGAGTGAGGCTTCTGTTATAGTGGTTGTCATTAAACAGTGTTTTAAATGTTCTAACCAATATACTCAAGAAAAAATGAGTTACGAATATTAGATATGAAGAGACTGAATCATTGTATTTGCAAATAATGTGATTGTCTCCTTGAAAAATTCAAAAAGATCAGCTTAAATTTTTAAAATTGAAGTACAGTTGACACACAAAATCAGCTTGAAATTTCAAGAGCAGATAAGTCAGTAAGGTGGCTTGTGACAATAGCAATTTCTAAAAAAATAAATAAATTTCTACATAAGAGCAGTAACCCCATCGGTTAAAGAGACAGCACTCACAAGAGCAAAAAGTCTGAAATACCTAGAAATAATCTTGATAAGCAATATTCACTATTAATATTAAGATAACTATGAAGTTTTTCTGAGGCACTTTTATTTAAGAGCATGAACAGAGGGATATGCTGTGTTTCTGCGTGTGACTATGGTACGGTAAAAGGTATTCTCCATCAAATTAAGCTATTTTTAATGTTATTATTTTTTAATGCTATTCATGATTATTTAAGTATCAGTTTGCCAAGTTTAGTGTTAATGTAAAAATACTGACATATAAGAATATCTTAGAAACTGGAAAATATCATTATAAGCTGGCATTTTTTCTCCCTCTCAGATACTAACACATATCCTAAAACTGCAATAAATAAAACAGAGCAGTAGTCGATGCAGAACTAGTTAAGACACATCCATGAGAAAAGAGAAAAAGCAAGAATGAGTTCATGTATGTATGGGAGTTTGCATATAATAAAAGTAGGACTCCAAATCTGTGAGCAATGATGGTTTGTTCATTAAATGTTGGGAAAAGTGATTAACCATATAAGGAAAAAATATGTAATCAGATGATCATTTCATAATAAACCACAAAATACATCCCATATATGTTAAAGATCTTAAATGTAAAACACAAAAACAGAAGTTCTGGAATTTTCCATAAGAAAATACAGGTGAATATTCATATAGCCTTTGAGTAATTCCTAAGCATCATACCTGTGGCTAAAGGAAAAATAAATATGACTACGTAAACATTCAAACTTTCTGTGAATTATAATAATAATTAACATTTATTGGGGCACCTGTGTGGCTCAGTCTGTTGAACATCTTTCTCTTGGTTTCGGCTCAGGTTATGATCTCAGGGTCCTGGATCCTCACGCTCAGCTGGGTCCCAAGTCAGCTTGGGATTCTCTCCCTCTGCCCCTTCCCCCACTCATGCACACACGTAAGTTCTCTCCCTCTCTAAAATAAATAAAATCTTTAAAATAAATAATTACCATTTATCAAGTGTTCACCAAGTGCCAGGCACTGTGGCCCATATTTTACATACTCAGACTCACTTGATGCTAATAACAACCCTATAAAATAATTATCACAGTTTTGCATATGTAAAGGCAAATGAGACCTAAGTAACCTGCATAAGGTCGCATAGCTACCTGGTGGCTAAATGTAGCATTCATCATCTCAAAGAAAGAAAGAAAGAAAGGGAGGAAGGGAGGGAGGGAAGAAAGAAAGAATGGAAGGGAGGGAGGGAGGAAAGGAGGGAGGGAGGGAGTGAGGAAGGGAGGGAGTGAGGGAGTGAGGGAGGAAGGAAGGAAGGAAGGAAAGAAAAAAAGAAAGAAAGAGAAAGAGAAAGAAAAGAAAGAAAGAAAAAGAAAAGAAAGAAAAAAGAAGAAAAGAGTTTCTCCTTGTGATAGGAACCCTTAGGATCTTAGGATCTACTCTCTTCACAACTTCCCTACACACCACACATCAGTGTCAGCTACAGTCACCGTGCTGTATGTGACATCCCCAGTGGTTACTTATCTTGTACCTGGAAGTTTGTATCTTGTGACCCCCTTCCCCCAATTCCCCCTCCCCTCCATTCAGTAAGTTACGATATATCTTTTCACATAATAGAAATATCATACTGACTTTCAACATTATATAGATGAACAATAATGTGAAAATATCTAAACATTATTTGAAATATAGTGAAACAGTATGTAAGAAACTAAACCATTTTATTTTTTTAAAGACTTATTTATTAATTTGAGTGGAGGGAGGGGCAGAGGGAGAGGGAGAGAAAGAATCTCAAGCAGACTCCCTGCTTAGCATGGAGCCCAATGTGGAGCTCGATCTCACAACCTGGAGATCATGACCTGAACCAAAATCAAGATTTGGATGCTTAACCGGCTGAGCCACTTTGACGCCCTGAAATTAACCCATTTTAAAGTATATCTTTGACTAGCCTATATTACCAGAGGAGATTAACAAGATGCTAGTGTTTACCTGGGTGCAAGACTGTGGATGAATTAAAATTTTTTTTCTTTTTTGTGTTTTTTTTTTCTTTTCTTTCTTTTCTTATCTATTTCTTATAGTAAATAAGCATTGCTTTTGTAATAAGGAAACTATTTTTAATTTTAATTAAGTTACAAAGAAATTTTAATGGTACTGGAAAGACAATGAAGGTTTTGAGGCACTAAAATTAAACCACGTTATGAATTGAGAACTGAGGACCCCTCTAGAGAAATTAAAGAAAACAAAGATATCTTTCTAGCAAACATTTAGGCCACTCATGCCCAGAGGTGAACAGGCACAAGACATTAGCTTTCCAATTTCTTGTAAATGTAGCAGGTGTATTAACATGATGCTCATACAACCATCACAGCAACTCCAGTTGGCAAATTATTTATATCTTTCCACACGTTTTCCTCATGTGTCAAATGTAGTTTTGCCTCCAGGGTTGTTATAAAGATTAAATGAGCTCATCATTTATTTCTTGAGCATCTCTTATGTGACAGGTGCTTCTGGGTTCCAGAGGCACTGAATGAGGCACTTGTCACAGGAAGTTTCCATTCTAGGAGAAGAGAGAGACAAACGAAGTAGCAAATAAAGTGGAAGACAGCAGGCTAAGTATTATAATGAACAGAAAACAAGAAAATGTGCTGTGACTGCAAATTGCCTCTGAGGAGGTGAAATGAAAGCGGAAACCTGAATGACCCAAGTCCCCGGCCCTGCAAAGATCCAGGAAACGAGCAACTGAGGCAGAAAGAACAGCAAACTAGGCACATACATTTTTTGGCTGAAGCTATTAATAGTCATCCCTATTAGTATCATTAATTACAGCAAAAATAACAGAGGGTTTTACACATTTAACATTCCTTCAAATTTCTTCATAAACTAGCTTTCATCACTTCAAGCTTTTAATAAATTGTCGGCCAGTTATGTGGCTACTATGCCTTTCGTGAAGCCCTTAAAGCAAATTTCATCCTTCCTCCTGGTTCTGCAGACCTTCCACCAGGATATTCCTTACGTCTGCAACTGCTAACCCTGTATTTCCAGTCACAGGGCTCAAGCATTTCACCACAGTACCACACAGCTGCTGTCCCCGAAGAGCTGACCAGCACTGACAGACCCTGGGAGAAAGAAAGACTTCCTTTCCTTTCCTTAATAAAACCGACAGGAACCATGGCTGGCAACTTTCTCAAGCACAAGTCTAGATAGCAAAGGTTATTTTTCTTTTTTCTGCTGAGGAGAGAAATGTAACATGCTTTGATGACTTCTAACAGATTGCAAATGGGTTAACAGTTGCATTTATTTATTTATTTATTTATTTATTTATTTATTTCTAATTTAATGTTCACTCTGGAAGTGACACGACGGAACCTGAGAAAGGGCGCAGCTTCACTAGGCTGGGAGTGTGCCCTAGAACAAGAAGCAGTGTCCTGAAACGAGGTGCCAGGTGAATAACGTCAGAGCAAGCCAGAGGGGTTGCCAACCTGGCCTGCAGACTGGCTGAATGTCTTCCTATTGATGACCATGTCTAAGATACTCTCCTAAGTGAAGGTGATGCTATTGTCTTGCTCCCAGGCAGCATGGCTAAGAGAACAACCTCGAAAATTGGGCAAACCTAAGCTGAAGTCTGACTCTGAGGGTTACAGGTACTGACCCTGAATGAGTTATTTGAGATCGCTGAGGAGGTTAACAGAGTACCTTCCTCCTAGGGTTGATGTGAAGATGAAAGGAGATTAGCAAGCGAGCACACAACACAGTGCCTGGTATGTAACCAGTCCTCAATAAACATCAGCAGTTATCAGAAAAGCAGGTGCTCTCCACTCTCCATAGTGGGGACGGGACTTGTGTTGATCTATCTGCGTTGGTACCGAACCTCCTTTGTGGCCACACAGGTGTAGATTATGGGTGTGGTTTGTGGCATGGGATAGGGGGAGGCTTTCCAAAACCCCATGCTTCCGATGCTACTCAGTTATTTATTTATTTATTTATTTATTTATTTATTTATTTTTATTTATTTTTATTTATCTATCTTTCTATTTTTATTTAAATTCAAGTTAGCTAACATATAGTGTAGTACTGGTTTTAAGGAGTAGAATTTAGTGATTCATCATTTACATATAACACCGAGTGCTCATTCCAACAAGTGCCCTCCTTAATGCCCATCACCCATTTAGCCCACCCCCCACCTCCCCTCCAACAACCCTGTTTGTTCTCTGTATTAAAGAGTCTCTTATAGTTTGCCACTCAGTCATTTAAATTCATCTTGTGCTGAGTACCTGTCCAGTCTACATGGCAGTTAAACACAATCTCTACTCTCCCTGAGCCCCTGACTTAACTCCGCACCCTCCACAAGCTACCTTGTCTTCTACTGAGCTGAG